GAATACTTAACATTTATATTGCATTTGGTCACAGGTTCTGGTTGTAGCAATAGCATCGGCAATAGACGTTTTCATTGGCTGGTTCTTGTTCTGCAAAAGTCTGTGTCCAATAGATCATCAGATGTCCAGAAGCTAGGGACAAACAAAAACAAAAGAAAGAATCATGAGTATCTCTCTCATTTAGCACTCATCTATGTATGATTTCAAAAATATAAACATCACTCCCCAGTTTTTCTCTCTCAGGTCCTCAGGTCCTCAGGTCCTCAGGGTCCTCAGGTCCTCAGGTCCTCAGGTCCTCAGGGTCCCCTGAGGGTGAGTCTCAGTCGTCATCAGGTCAGGTCATAGAGAGATGTCATCTTGGTCATCAGTAGGGTCCAAGCCATGGTTCTGGTTCTGGTCTCCAGATGCACATCGGATCTCCAGATACAGTCTTTTCACTTGAAGCACATCAGGTCATTTGCGATGCACTTCTGGTCAATGGTGCAGTGTCTCAGTTCCTGTACACAGCTTGTAATGCAATAGTTACTCTCTATGGTTAAGTCACTTTGATTCTACTTTAACACAATTTCTATTCATGCTGTTGCCTCTGTCCCTCAGACAAAAGCAAGCGCAGTTTACTTCTCTAATTTGTGTTTTTATCAGATCTAATTCTCATCAATGTAATTACTTCACACAGTACAAAATCAAAACATCAAAAGTGTCAGGACAGAGGTCAATTATGTCCATGACAATATAGAATTCAAATGAACATTTCTGGTCTCAAAAAATACCGATTCAACTAAAGATTCAAGTGATAGACAATTAAAAATATGTGTTTACATTGGAGTAAACTTTTAAAATGCTTTTTTCTCATGTTATGCTTTTTCATGTATCTATATGTAAATGTGAATGTGTGAGTGTATGTGTGTATGTAAATTTTGGGGTTGTCTCTCCAGACTCCTCGAACCACCTGTAGGTGTCAAAGGTCACACTGTGGTGATGCAAACCAACTGGACACACTTTCAACTCTCCTCCAGGTCTCTCCCTGACGCTCCACCCATCACTGCCTCCAGAAACCTCCACTTTGTGGCCCCGGTCTCACTCCCACTTACTTCTGTAGTGGGGGGAGGGGCAAGGAGGTGGCATTGTTGCCCTTTGCTCTTAGCTCTGTGGCCTGTGGCTGGGTGGGCGTTGCGCTGTCCAGTGTCCAGCAGTGACCTCTCGTACAGTGAGGCAGAGTCTGAAAAACAATCCTTGAGACGGCCAATTTAAAAAAACAATAGATATCAGTATGCGAATGAGATTGTTTTTCTCTCTGAAGTCAAAACAATTTTGGAGCGCTCTGGGTTTTCCCAAGCGCTATGTAAATAAAAGATTACTTATTATCTTACTAATGATGACATTTTTAAAACCAGAAACTCTTAATATAAAAAAACAAGACTCAAATCTAAAAAAAACCTTTAAACTTTAAAAAATGTATTCTATTTTGTACTTCTGTACTGTGATGTTTTTAATCTTGGCTTGCTTGGGTTTCTTGTAATGCGCCATAAAATAGAATGAATTATTATTATTACTCAAATCGCAACTAAAACTGTATGAAAAATCTCTGTAAAAATGAATTTTGAAAAACATTAAAACAAAACTTGAAAACATGAAGTCAAAGCAAAAAGATTAACTAAACTGGATTAATCACTTTATGGAATTTCCCTTTTACACTTGAACATTTATAGCATATATTCTAATTTAAGATAATTGCTGCATTCTTCAAATGCACTCAATAAACTTTTAAAAACATTTTGAATTAACGGACGTAATCAAACTCTGCTCGCTCTGCAGTGAGCAGCAGCTGCAAGGCCAGAGCTATAGACAAAACAAAACTCACAAAACTCACAGCTTTTAGACTGTAAATTGGGTCACAGTTCAACTTAATAATAATACTTTTACAGCTATCCTAATTCCCTCTTTCTTTTTAGACGAAGTCTACAATCATTAATCACTTTTAACAGATTCTAATTTAAATGTTTGAAAAACGGCTTTTGTAACTAAAATAAAAACATAAAAAAATTCTCACTAACAGCTATGAAATATCAGATACAATAATGGACTCACAAAATAAGCAGCAGATTTAAAAGAATGGAATCTAGAAATATGTTAGGTCTAAAAAGAATTGCACAGCTTTTAGCACTAATATTTGGGTTTCAAAAAACATATAATATTCAAAACTTATATTTACTAATGGTGTTTAAAAACGTTTAACTGTGTCATAACACAATGTTCAAATGGCAAATTTCGCAAATTTAACGGAATAACAACTATGAAAAGCCTAAATCCTAAAAGCAGTAGCTTTGCTTCAGATTCAGAGCCAGAGCAGCGAAGGAGGGGGCCGTTTCCCTGACAACGGCAGCAGATAGAGCGACGCACACACACAGGCAAAAAGATACAGAAGAATAACTTTCAAGATTACTTTGTTAAGCGAATATAACTGATGTTGTTCTTTATACTTTTGTCATCCAAATCTAGAAGTGATCACTTTCCACACTAGTAACAAAAGGCACTCTTGTCTTTAACGTTTACGCTTCTATTTTATCGAGGTAGCAAACTAATTTAAACTTAAAATCTCTTTCTAAAAAACAAAAACAACTGTTGGATACAACCCTTTCATAGCTCAACTGTAGATAAAACTCGGCAAAAAATGTAAATAACTCACGAAAGCTCTCATAGCTCAACTTTAGATAAAACTCTGCATTCTCCGGTGAACTCTGTTCACGCCAAAAACAAAAACTCCTGTTGCTTCTTTACTTTTGTCATTTATCAGCCTGAAATTCGTCAATTTCAAAGCTTTTGTAACAAAGGCCTCCTTAACACGTTTCCCTTTTTATAATTACTTTTAATTTTACACCATGGTTTCACTTATGGATCCTCACTTATGGCCTTTACACTTTATGGATCCTACACTTTTTATGGCCTTTACACTTTATGGATCCTATTCACTTTAATGGCCAACACTTTTCACTTTATGGATCCTATTCACTTTAATGGCCAACACTTTTCACTTTATGGATCCTCACTTATGGCCAACACTTTATGGATCCTACACTTATGGCCTTTTCACTTTATGGATCCTATACACTTTATGGCCTTTTCACTTTATGGATCCTATACACTTATGGCCTTTTCACTTTATGGATCCTATACACTTATGGCCTTTTCACTTTATGGATCCTATACACTTATGGCCTTTTCACTTTATGGATCCTATACACTTATGGCCTTTTCACTTTATGGATCCTATACACTTATGGCCTTTTCACTTTATGGATCCTCACTTATTTGAACACAATTTAGAGAGTTCGACAGACCTCAAAAACAGACCAAAATTTAGCTAGTATCCAATTATGCAGACTTTACATATAAAAAGGTGTCTGCTTACCTTATTCTTGTCAAACAGGTGCATGCACGGACTGTCCGAGAGGTCTGCCAACTCTTTTCCGCGTCGGAATATTCAATTTAAAAAACAAAAGTGACAGAAGCGACAAGAAGCATCCAGGAACAGCTCTTCCAGCCTGCTGGAATCTCCGCTCCCAGACACAGCATGCCGATCTCTCACGCCGAGGAAAAGAAACAGAGCAAACTCCCCCAAAACAATCCAGAGAATGGCACACACGGAGCCGCGCATTCTCCACCAAATCTGTTAGGATTTAAGCAGACAGAGACGGATCGTGGTGTGCCAAACTCTGGAAGTTTATTTACGTTTCTCTCAAGTTCCACTGGTTTACTCTGTTTCTTTCTCTCAGACAGAATAAAGGCAGTACACAGTTTATATAGTCATTGTCACGTCACACATCGAAAGACATACGTGTCACAAAGAGACAGTCACATCATAGTCATAACATGGAGTCCTTGTAGAGTCCTTGTACAGTCCTGCACGTAGGCCATATTGCTATCTAATACTAACACTTTGTTAGATGTTCTTTCCTATACTTCCTGGTTTGTATTCAGTTTCTATGTTCCTTCATATGCTAGAGATTTTATTTTTTTGGGTATAGAGTTATTATGCATTTATCTTGTGTGTGTGTGTGTGTGTGTGTGTGTTGTGTGCTACTTGGGCGGCACGGTGGCTGAGTGGATAGCACTCTCGCCTCTCAGCAAGAAGGTCCTGGGTTCAAATCCCGGTCGGACCAGGGCCTTTCTGAGTGGAGTTTGCATGTTCTCCCCGTGTCTGCGTAGGTTTCCTCCGGGTACTCCGGTTTCCCCTACCACTAAAAATATGTCAAATAGTTCTGGCATGCGCCTCCTGTACTGGCAACCCCGCTCCCATCTCTGTGTGAAGTGAGAGGACAAGTGCCCAAAATTAACAATTGTAAACCGCTTTGAGACTCAGATCTGCAGTGAAAAGGCGGTATATAAATAAAGATTACTTACTTACTTACTCATTCCTACTGTCTGTAACTCGTGCTGCAACACCGACATTTGCAAGTTACAGACAGCAACTTGTGACAGACAGTAACTTGTGGGACGAATAACGGATCTCTTAATCTTAATCTTAATCTTAATATTCATTTTCTTTGCTACTTGTTGGAGAGCGCAGTCTTTCTTTGAAGCCAGTGGCCTATTACAGGAGCGGCTCCATCAGCCAATCAGCGGCGGGCTCTGCTGTCCCTCTAATCGTGGATTAGCTACAAGGCTCACTGCAGTCCACGGCTCCACTGCTCCACAGCACTACAGCTCTACAGCTCTACAGATCGACTGATCCACAGATTCAGAGTCTGAGGACTGAGCAGAGATAGTCACTCACTACTCCGCCTGTACGCGTGTCTTTGGCTCACTTGGATTTGGGACTTTCTCTCGTTTTCACTGCGTTTGTTTGGTGGTTTACGTGTGTGTTCGGCGTGGATCGGAGCAGATGTGCTGCAGGTCAGAGGTAGTAGGTCCAGAGGACTGATGGCTCCACACTTGTAATCCACGCTTCTGCTGCTGCTGCTGCTGTAAACGCGCTCGTCGCGTTGGTTTGTGGCTTTGCGATGTTCAGAACGGCCAATTACCCCTCGGTGGATCCTGCGCCCACCTTCATGCACGGATCTTGGTTTGCCACGGGGTGCCGTGAAAACACGCCTGTGGCCGTGGAGAAGCCTAAGAAGAAAGCCTTCAGCCTGGTCAAAATCATGTCTCTGAGCAACAAGAAAGGACCGGACAAACCTCCGCACCACCACCACAACAACAACATTCCCTTCTCCATCCACTGTACCATCGGCAAAGAGATCAAGCACATATGCAGCAACTGCAGCCGAGGCAACGACACTCAAGACGGTGAGTGTTCCTGGCTCTGTACGGGCTCTATAGGCTGCTATAGGCTGCTATAACCTGCTATAGGCTGCTATAGGCTTGGACCACATGAGCCCTGAGGTGCACTGCCTCTGCGCTCACAAGATGGCCTGAAGCATAATGAGAGTCTGTGCAGGTGTTGGGCCTGTTGTCCATTCGTGTCAGGTGGAAATGGGTCAGTGTGTGGTCGATGTGCTGTAAGCCTCTCTGACTGGATCAGAACTTATTTTCAGAACTACCTGTTGTGAGCTTCAGCCTGTAGTAGCACATATATTACTGGACTATTATACTGTGTTATAGATAAGTATCCATATCCATGCACGATTTTGTTGGCACAGCTAAATGTGAGAAATGCGAGCTTTGAGTTTCTTGTCATTACATCAGCACTCAGCCATCTTAACAACGTCTTCTTAATTAGAAACATGGTCATCACTCAATGTAGGCTTCAGATGCATTTGTGTGTGAGATAATCTCTCTACTCTCTTGGACAAATCCTGTCATTAGGCATTGGTGTTGGCCTAACCTTGCACTTTTCATATTTTCTTCATACACTTTCATGTTTGTTACCTGATCATGACAGCTGTTTATTGATAAGTGCAGCATTCACAGCAGACCATTCTAATATAGCACACACACACTGTGAGGTTGTTGGTTTAAAAGTCCCTTCTGTATTCCCTGATGCAGTAGAGCAGCCTGTATGTTTTGGATGCCTAATTAAGTCACTTGACTTAGCTTCAGTTCTATTTATAGACCAGTTTGATGGCTGGACCAGTAAGATCCTTCTTTCTGCCTTTGAGAAATTAAAGAATCTAAGCACTGGAGCATGCTGGGATTTACTGTCACATTGCATACACTCACTGAGGTCCTAGGAGGTGTCTGGTGTGGACATTGTGCAGTGATAGTTCTGTGTTGGCAAACTCTGAGTGAATGCATCGTCATTCAGAAAAAGCACCAACCCCTGCTGTGATGCAATGAAAAGTGACATTTTTATGTGTTCATAAATCACAACTGCAGTCGTCTTGGAGTACCTTACAAAATGGTCATTTCGCCAAAAAACAATCTAAGAATCAAATGGTTCAAACATGAGTAATGCAATAACAAACTCATAGAAGCTATTGTCCATAAGGTACAGGATGACCATTGTCAATAAAAGTGCATAAAGGTCCCTAAATGTCCTGGATCGTCACCGTCCGTTGACCCTCATGGGACGCTCATTTTGGCAGAGGGACAGGACTCATGACAACAAAGATGGGGGTACCTAGCTTTTCCCCCATAATTGTCTTAACGTAAAGAGTCAAACAAATTGGATCGCAACATGCTGTCTTCATCTTTTAGAAAACAGCCTGGTCAGTCACTATTGGGGCTAAGAGCTACAGTATTTGGCAGATTGAGGGTGGTCCATGCATGTGAAAACTAGTGATGAAACCAAACAGTTTTGAGAAAGAGGAGAGGAACTAATTAATTACACTGCTTGAAGGTCGGGGTACAAGACTTTACCCAGAAAGCACCTCATTGCACCTCATTCTTATGTTCATGGGTGATGCACACAGATATGAGATAATTTTTTATTTTGAGGTCATAAAAATTGTCAGTTTTTGCATTTAATTCTACAACTGGGTACAGGTCTGTGTGCAGTGAACAGGTTGAAGATGGAAAAACCCAAATTTATGAGTACATACTAAAGCCTCAAACTCTATTGACTGAGGGGATAATTGATTACTTGGCTGATAATTCTTTACATAGATTGATTAGTAGTTCATATACTGAGAAGTCGGTGAATTTGGGATTTTTTGTATACATTTTACCTAAACAAAGCTTAAGTGATATCCCTGGAGAACCTTTTCTTACAGATAATTTGTGGTCATGTCATTTTATTCCCCTTTATTTTTCAATTTTTGGGTCAATCAAAGCTGCCACCCAGTTCTCAAAGCACCTGTCAACTCATGGTAAGATAATTTGTGGTGTTTGATTAAAAATACTGCTTAAACACATTTTCATTGTGGTCTGGGGCTTTACTTTGTGACCGCTGAAATGCATCCAGTAGAAGTAGAACATAATATTCTGTTTTGTTCCGTACTTTCTTCACAATTCCCAAAATGGTATCAACCTGAGACATCTTTCCTCTGCCTCTACCTTTTATAATTCATTGTCTGCAGTACATTTCTGGTCCTCACACTCTTACCACCTCCTCTGCAGCCTGTTCAACCAGCACTGACTTCTCCCTTCTCTCCCCTTTCTCCCTCTCAGCTGAAGAAGCCGAGCGTTTTGCCGCCATGCGCTCGGAGTCCATGCTCACAGGCACCCACACGCCACCCATTCGCAGCCGGAGCAAATTTGCCTCTTTGGGACGCCTCCTCAAGCCCTGGAAATGGAGGAAGAAAAAGAGCGAGAAGTTCAAGCAGACATCAGCCGGTATGTGTTCCACGTACAGTAATCACTAAAAAGCTTTTCGAGTGATGCAAGTGGGAAGAATCTGTGTTTTGGTAATGTTATTTATGATCGTGAAGGCGGTGGGTGATGTTGATATAAAAAAATGAATACATCTGTATGTTTTTGGACTATTATGATCAGTTTTGTCATACAAGCTTCAAAATGCACTGTTGTGGATCAAGATTTTAATCCATCCTGTCAAATTATTCCATCCAGTCATTTTCTTCTGTGTTATCCGTTGCCGGGTCCCAGAGGCAGGAGTCTGAGCAGAGACGGCTAAACTTCCCTATCTATGCATAATTCTGATCCTGGGGTGTTCCCAGGCCGTCTGAGAGATAAGTTCTCTCCAGCGGGTCCTGGGGTGTCCTTCCGGTGGGACATGGCCAGAAGGCATCCCAAAAAGATGCCCGAGCCACCTCAACTGGCTCCTCTCGAAATGGAGGAGCAGCGGCTCTAATCCGAGCTTCCCCCTGTATGACTGAGCTACTCATCTCTAAGTGAGCACTCTTTCTGGCCGCTTGTACCTGGGATATTTCCTTTCGGTTAAAAAAAATACCACAACATTTCCCTAAAGTTCAGTAATTTATTTTAGTTTTGGTGATAAACTATTCATTCTATATCTTCAATACATATTATATATTTGTTGTAAAATCTATATGATGCAAATGTTCTATATTAATATTTTGCCTAGAATTTCCCACAATTTCCCATTTTTGAAGTACATTTTGAACTGTTTGAAAGATTAAATTCCTGATTGAATAGTTTCTTTTTTTAAACCTACTCTTGGACTGTAACACGGAACGAGAATCATGACTTATCAATCAGTAATTCTAAAAGTTTGAAATTACAACATTGTGAAATTAAGATTTAAACCATTACCTGGTTAATGAAAAATGCATATCATTTCATTGTTCAAGTGCTTATCTTCCTCGCTTTCAGGTTAGGGTTTGCAAAATTGTTGCAAAAAAAGTTCCTTTAGCTGAATTAAATGAGCATGTTTTGGTTTTCTGGTGGTTAAAACTCCCAAAGGGCAGTATTCCGCTGTTGTCATGGGCGACAGGGGACACACTGTATCCGAATTCATAAATTATACCCCCTTCCTTATTCTTCCTCGCCTTTCCTTTTTTTAAGAGTCAAACCGAGCAGTAATTACAAAACCTGTAAACAAGAAAATACATTATGGCGTTATGTCTGGATATATATTTTTTTAGTGTGTCCTCCAGCGACTTCACTTAAACTTGTGCTTTGTCGAATTTGAATAAATGTATATATCCGCTTGCTGAGTTGCATCCCAAGAACACCATACCTACTGTGAAGCATGGGGGTGGAAACGTCATGCTTTGGGGCTGTTTTTCTGCTAAGGGGACAGGACGACTGATCTGTGTTAAGGAAAGAATGAATGGGAGATTTTGAGCCAAAACCTCCTTCCATCAGTGAGAGCTTTGAAGATGAAACATGGCTAGGTCTTCCAGCATGACAATGATCCCAAACACACCGCCCGGGCAACTTGTCAAAAGAATCATTGCTAGATTAATCGATTTATCAAAATAATCAGTTAATAACTACAGTCCATGATTTTGGCCCTTGATTTACTTAAAAATAGACTGAAAATGTACATTATTTGACTGTGTTGTGTCTAAAATCCTTTTTCGTCAAAAGACCCACGGCAAAATGAAAGTAAAATAGTGAGCGCTGTGCGAGTGAAGCTCATCCAGAACTGCGTGGGAAAGCTGGCCCGGCTGTGAGCTCATATGCAGCGTACAATAAAAAAGCTCTGCACTAAAAAGGGGACATAATGCTGGGAATTCGGATTGAAAAAGCTCATTTCACTCTTTTGTTGTCCAATTATTTTGTTTGCTCGACATCTCTCTCTCTAAATACTACATTGTTTTAGTCCACTTCTTCTTTTGATGCTGGATTATGACTTTATGGCCACGTCTCACAGGAGAGCCGTAGGCAATGTCCGATCTGAGGCGGGGGAATGCCAGGCAGGTGCTGGGCGTGACGGCGTGCCAGTGCATTTTTCGGCCTGTCGCATCCGTTTGTGTGCCTGCCGCTGTGATCCCAACTTCTGAAGCGTCCTTTATGAGCAAACGCAGGAAAGTGGAGCAGTCCCAACAGTCACGAATCAAGTGCAACCAATTCACATGACGGGAAGTAGCTCAGCCATTTCCTCCTTGGATGGTGCTCTACAAACCAGCGGTGAATGACTCAGGGGAAAAAAAAAGTCAAATGGGGTTACGCAGGATGGTGTAGCTAGTATGAAAGATATTATTAGCCATTCATTGATATATAAAAGTTTTTCAATTTAATATAATTTTTAATTGTGAAATGAAATGGTCATAGATTACAAGCCTTCCTTCCTCTTACTAACAGAGGATCGGCTGTTGAGTGATATCTTGATTTAAAGTTAAACGTAATTGGATAATTTTAAACTATTGGAACAAATGTCTTGGGCCTAAGCATTAACTGTATGATTTCGGCATTTATAACTATTTTGTGTGTAAAGATGAATCTGAGTAGTTTATCAATTTTCTAGTATTTATTATCACTAGAAATCTCATGGTTGTTCCATAGATGGAACTCTATATAACAAAAAAAAACTCTGAAATGTGTATGAGGTAGTCGCTTCAAAGGTAACTCTTGTAGTTTTTTCTCCATCTGAGCCAAACTTAGACGTTTTGAACATAAAGGATGTCAAAACTCTCATTGCAATGTTGTTCAGAAATCTTGCAATTATCATGCAGCCAGAGATCAAAACCTAGAGCACAACCACATATGTTTTTGTATGAACCCGTTAACTTATGGAATGACTTGGCTAAAAAGACCCAGATGGCTCTAAACTAGATCAATATGTCTCATTCTGCAGCATCTGGCAGTGGCTTGAATGATCCAAGGGTCCTGAGATTCATTCCTCATTCCCTGGTCAGGAGATTATTTTACAGAATTGAGCTTTGGATTTGACTGTAAAAACTTGTTGTATGTGATGGAGAATATACAGAGAATGGACAAATGTAATCAATGTGGTTACAAATGATACATTCAAAGATCGGTCTACCTCTTATTTAATTATTGAGGGCATAATGATCTCTATGGAAATATGCAAAGGGTGAGAATTTGATAATTTTGAATTGTGTCCCAAATATCGCAATACTATTTCCATTCTTGACTTATCGCAATACAGGAAGATGACTCTGCAATATATAGCGATTCATGTCTTTAGTAATATTTTTCAAACATTTAAAAAATTGAGGATAATAATTTTCTCAATTCAAATGTCACATTTATTATGGTGGGCACACAACTGAAGTGAAAAAACTTATAGGAGGGTAGTGGAAAAACCTTGTGTGGAACCTGTTGTGATGAACTTACTGTTGAATCAATGCACCAAAACAAAACACAGCAACAAGCGCCAACTTGTGCATGTAATACGCAAATGTAAATTACCAGAATAAACTCAGAGAAAAACATGAAACTGAATAAATATTAAATACTTTGCTGCACTATATCTATTTTAATTGCGCAAAATATCACAATACTAAACGGAATAGATTTGGTTTTTTTCTCCCCGCACCACAAATTTAGTTTATACTTGACTGTGAAGCTGAGAAAGTGTCAACACAATACTCATTGAACAAGTTTGGATGTGGAGGGATCACCAAACTGGCCGTCTGCAAACAAACAACCCAACATGACGATCCAATTTGGTGCAAACATTTCAAAATGTCGGCCCAAACATGCTTTCACACAGGTCTCAGTGCTTAACATGGATAATGAATGTTTCAGTGAGAGTTTTGGAGGCAGGTCCAGGGAACGGTCTTGGTTAAAAGCTTTCACTTTTGAGCTACAGCGCCTCAGGCTTCTGCTCAAACTATCTGGGTCACTTTGCAGGCAAAATATATTTTCTCTCCAAAAGGGGAAAAAAAAATCTCGGCGTAACTTTGCATATCAAAACGGCCGTTCTTGTAGACGTCAGTTGAATTTGATATGCTCTTAAATGAGTGTCTCAACTAATTCTCCTCTGGTTCAGGGTTTCACATTGTCGTTCTAGCGCTCTGGGTTTCAGCTGAAGGTGATTTAAAGGGGTCACACACACTCCATGTAAAGAGGATAAGGAGAGAGGAAAGATACTTCTGGACGTATGGCGCAAAATGACAAGATTTGTTGCGCCATAATTGAAAAGGCTATTCAATTTAAGATTAGGAGATCATATATTTGTCCCATGCACAGTGGGGAAATTTCAGTGTTGCAGCACCGGTCACAGAACAGTAGGCATGAGGAGCACACAACACAAGATTAATGAACAATGAACAACTTTAGCATTTAACAAAGCAAGTATAATAAATCTCTCGGTAGCATAATAAGTAAGCTAACTAAATTCTCTAACTTTTGCATAATGAAGTTTAATACTATATGAATTAGGGCTGTCAAACGATTAATTTTTTTAATTGAGTTAATTACAGCTTAAAAATTAATTAATCGTAATTAATCACATTTCAAACTATTGGCAAAATGATGCCATATTTTTCTGTAAATTGTTGTTTGAATGGAAAGATAAATGACAGCTTAGTGAACATATGTACTGTATTTGTTTGTTATAACAATAAATCCATATAAAATGGAATTAACATTATTAACATTCTGTCTTTCTGTTTAGACTCAGACCAAAACTATTGTTTGTTACAGATGAGGGACATTTAGAAATAGTCTGAAATGCAGAATGTCATTAAATCTGTTTGATTTGCTCACACCATTACTTTTTTTGGCACAACTAACATGAACTGGTAGTCAAAAGGAAAATTAGGTACCTCAGCTTTAATTTAGCGAGTGCGCTTCGGGAGAAGACACGGAGGAGACTGAGGCTCCGCAGTCCAGCTTCAGCGCTGTACATATTGTGTGCATCGGTTACGCAAAGACACGTACGCACACTAGAGAATAGTTCTGTAATGGTTCTGTGCGTGGTCTTGGATATGATCCCATTA